TCTTCCCTCCTTCTTCCTTCCTATCTTTATTCTTCCATCCATCCATCCATCCATCCATCCGGCTGCCCCAACTCAGACAGAGTGGCTCTGAGTGACATACAGCATAAACACATATCAAGAATTAATAGTGACTGTGCAAATGAGAAGAAAGATCGCAGCCGTAGTGCCAGGCAGCTTGGGTGCAATCCCAAAACATCTGCAGCACCATCTCACCATCATTGACAAAACTGCCCTCGGTCAATTGCAAGAACGGCAGCTTTGCCTGGGACGGCCTCCATTTTGCAGTGATACTTTTGACACATCGTCAGGCATCAACCTCTGCCTCTTCCGGGTCCTTTGGAACGGCTTGATAGGCAGACAAAAATCCCCAATTCCAGTCTAAATATCTGGCGGACTGCAAGCAACCCTTTTAGAGAAGAGTTAACAACAAGCGGTACACGAATGTGTGTTTGTGTGCCTGTGAAATCCCTCCCGGCCTGGACCAAGCCTCGCAGCTTTCTTGACAAAAGTTTTGAGAGGGGTTTGCCGTTGCTTCTTTCCTGGGGCTGAGAGAGAGGGACTGGCCCGAGGTCATCCAGGTGGCTTTGTGTCTAAGACAGGACTAGAATTCACGGCCTCCCATTTTCCGGTGCCCTAAACGACTACACCCAACCGGCTCTGTATATATAAAACTACAAAAACTGACTTATCAAATGGCAACCGAGCACGGAACAAAACAAACCCCAGTGGGGGAATCTCACCAGACCTCATTCCAAGTTCTGGGGACTTTCCGTAAGGCGAGCTGATTTGGCACCTGTCATATATTTGCGGGTGTGTGTGGAGGGATTGCTGGAGGGAGGGTCAACCCCAGAAAAGTCACCCTTCCTTCCTAGGTCCCGTAAGATGACGAGGCTAAGAAACCCGGAGCGTGCCCAGGTGGGACACACAAGGGCAGATATTTGTGGAGGAGGAGGAGGAGGCTCCTTAAATATGATCTTGAGCCGGTTTTGTCTAGTGGTTAATGCACCAGGCTAGAAACCAGGTTGAGGAGCCCACCTGTCAGGTGGGTTGGGCTGAGAGAAATTGATTGGTCCAAAGTCACCTAGCTGGCTTTCATACTTAACGCAGGACTGGATTTCACCGTTTCCTGTCCCAAAGTCACCCAGTAAGCTTCCATGCCTAAGGCAGGACGAGATTTCACCATTTCCTGGTAATTGTCCCAAAGTCCCCCAGTCAGCTTTCATGCCTAAATTGGGACTAGAACTCACCGTCTCCTGGTGATTGACCTAATATTACCCAATTGCCTTTCCTGCCTAACATGGGGTACTAGAACTCACCGTCTCCTGGTGATTGGCCCAAAGTCCCCCAGACAGCTTTCATGCCTAAGGCAAGACTCGAATTCACCTTCTCCTGGTTCCTAAGCCAGCACCTTAATCACCCCGCCAAACTTTTTAATTTTTGTTTTTCAAATCCTTTTTGCTACCGATGGCCCTTGGCCGATGCCAGCTCTTTCCAGCCCCAGTTTTTTTTGTTTTGTATTGCTTTCCATCTCTTGGCCCTTTTGCGCTGGGTGCGGGTAGCAAAGCTCTCCCAGCATAATGGATCATTGTCTGGGCCTCCTTTGTTTTCCACTTCCCTTCTTACATCACAGTGGCCTGGCCAGCCAAGAAGTTTCCCCAGCCCTGAACAAAGATTTTAACTCTCGGGTAAGGAAATGGCTTGAAACCAGATCCGACGAGCCAGCAATACAAAACCAGCCAGCTGGTCCTTGCAGCCAGCCTTTGCATGCAACGAAATAAAATTGTGGAATAGTTCTCGCGAGGTTTTCTGGTTGCCTGTTGTCATTAGAGTCCCGGGCAGTGGCTAAAATTATACTTTTGGAAGCACTGTGTGCTTTTAGCTGCAGTCCTTCCCCAGTTGTGCAAAAGTGCATTGCTGTAAATCTGCTGGGGACTGAGGGTCAGAGGTGAGGTGTGTGTGTGTGTGTGTGTGTGTATACATGCACAAGAGGGGGAAGGAGAAAGGACTGAAGTTGGATTTGTATGTACGACTACAGTTGAGCCCCAAACTTTATGTTGCTAAGTGAGACATTTGTTAAAGGAGTTTTGCCCCATTTTACGACATGTTAAGTGAATCGCTGCAGTTATTCAGTTAGTCACATGGTCGTTAAGTGAATCCGGCTCCACTCCCCCCCCCCCCCCATTGTCTTAGCTCATCAGGAGGTCGCAAAAGGGGATCCTGTGACCCCCGGGATATTGCAACCGTCACAAATGTGAGTCAGTTGTCAAGCATCTCAATGACTCTGGGGATGCTGCAGCAGTCGTAAGTGTGAACAGTGGCACTTTTTTCAGTAACATCGTAACTTTGAACCATCACTAAAGGAACTGCTGTAAGTTGGCAGTATTTATAACCGGTTCTTCCTTCATGATTTTACGTTTCTGATTAGAAGTGGGGTGCTTGGTTAAAACAAGTGGGGAATGATGGCCCTTTAATGACTTGTGGACTTCAACTCCCAGAATTCCTGAGCTAGCCGGCTTGGGAATTCTGGGAGTTGAAGTCCACAAGTCATTAAAGGGCCATCGTTCCTCACTTCTGGGTTAGCAGAATGGATAGACTTTGCTTTTTTTTTCAAAACTGGGCCCAAATTTAGAATTAGAGATAGATATTCTTTGATAAGAGGAAAATATGTATTCATAGACCTTCTACCATCCTTCTCCACTTTGGATTGCAGCTCTCATCAGCCCCAGCCAAGTCATCATTGACTGGGAGTAATGGGAGCTGCAGTCCTGCACACATGGAGATGATCAGGTTGAGGAAGGTACGCACGTTTTGCTATTTAACTCTGAACTATTTTTAAAAATTGCATCCTGCTGTCCGTGGAGCTGGGGAGGAAGGTCAGCTGGCATCTAATAATGGTTTTGTAGGCCTCCAAGAGAAATTGTGGAATTAATTTTGCAACCCAGACTGTCTCAACGTGTTTGCTTTGGTCTTTGCTGAAGGTTTTGTATATGGTCAACATTGCTGCTTTATTTCTATTTTTCCTTGCGGTAATTAGGACCCGCTTTTCTGTGGCTGGCTTAGCAGATGCTCTTTTCTGTCGTGGCTCTTTTTGTTCCTCAACGTCCGATCTCAAAAGAGAATGGGACGTTGCTCCCCATTATTAAACTACTGAAAGAGTTGGCAGAATATCCGTATTCTCTTCAGAGAATCGGGGGCCAAAATGATAATTCTCGGTGTGCTCCTGTTCTTCATTGGAGTGCATGGCTGAGAGTGTCACTCTTCTCTCTTTGTCTCTTTCTCTTCAATCCACAGAGCGACGACCGATCCACAATCTCATCGAATTCACCCACTTCTCAAACAGGTAAGCAAGACCAAGACTTCCTGAGACAGTAACAATCACACGCTGTTCCCCAAAAACCTTTTTTAAAAATCTCAATGGCTGTGGATTCTACGCATTCACAGCCCGCAATGAGTCCCAAACAGTTTGTGAATAGTCCAGTGGAAGTCTGCCACAGTCTTTTGGGATAAGGCTGATAAGCACCCACCTTTATCTCCCTTGAAATGCTGCCAAGGACTAAATTGCCAATTAGCTGTACGAGGCTAAAAGGAGTACAAAGTCAACACGGAGCTTCAGATTTTAAACCAAACAGAATGAACAAAGTTGCTTCCTGCAAAGGGTCCTGTCCCTTTGCTCCTCCTTTAAGTCTTAGGGGAAGGCCAATCATCTCCAAGCCTTACTCCCAAGTCGCCCCTTTTGTCTTAACTGTTCTTGCCTTCTGGCAGTCTGCGCAAGCATGCACTGGGAACAGGCTCCCCTTATTCCTCTCTCCCTTGCTGATGTCAGATTCTGGAGGCTCTGGAGTCAGCACATAACTCAGATGGACCTGGCTCCATCTCCGTATCGGACGCAGGACCCTCGTCCGAGTCCTCCCCAGACTCCAGGACTGGCCCATGTTCCTCCCCACTATCCGACTCTGCTGCCAGCTCTGCAGGCCGCCGGTGTACCACAACAGTGACCAACAGCAGATTCATAAGAAGGTCAGGGGAGAGTCCTTGTTAGGATTCAAGATCTTGTTCCGGATGATAATACGGATAGTCCTCGACTTAACGACCAAAACTGAGCCCAAAATTTCTGTCGCTAAGTGCTGACAGTTAAGTGAATTTTAACCCCATTTTACAACCTTCCTTGCCGCCGCCACTGCCCTCGTTAAGTCAGTCACACAGTCATGAAGTGAATCCACCTTCCCCATCGACTTTGCTTGTCCGAAGGTCGCAAAAGTGGATTGCACAACAGGGCCACCATCATAAATATGAGTCGTTCTGAATTTTGATCCCGTGACCCCGGGGAATGCGGCAACGATTGTAAGTGTGAAAGATGGTCACGTCCCTTTTTTCAGTGCCCTTGTAACTTCCAACGGTCACAGAATGAAGTGTTGTAAATCGAGGACTACCGTGAATGGAATTGTCCCATCACTAGGCCTGGTGGAAGAAGCGGGGGAGGGTCCATTTTCACGTCATCCTTGTAAGTTAATTGTCAGCTTTGGAAGCCATATTAGCACCAGAAGCTTCCACGCTGCCACATTCTTTCTTATAAACCCTCGTTCCATTCCAATTCAGTTCAATCAATAATCATTAAAGTCTTAATATCTTTAACATTTCTTTTCAATTAAATATCATACTTCCGTAAAGACACATATAATCTCCATAATTTTTCCCTTATTTCTCTTCATATATGTTTTGTAAATCATTAAATATTCATTTTGTTACATTTATTTATTGACAAACATTCCACTAAGTTACGATAATTATTTTATCATACATTGTTTCATATTTTCTGAAATTATTTCTATTTCTAATACAACAATACTATCTTATGTACCTTTGCAGAATCCCTTTTTCCATTAGATTTTCACCCATTATCTCTAAATAGGCCCTGTTTCTCTATATTTTGTTTCTATCCTTTATAACAACTTTTCCTTTCTTTCTTCCCTCTCTTCTTCTCCCTCCCCTTTTTACCCCCTTGTCTCTCTACTTCTAATTCTCTCTTCTGCATTTCACTCTTCTGTTGCTTTCTAATTTTATACTTATTTTTCAGTCTATCCTTTTTTGGGGTTGTTTTTCCCAATCTTAAACTTTCCATTCTCTTTCCCCCCTTTCCTTTTTTTCCCCCACCTAAGATTACTTGTTCATTAAAGATGGCTTCTTCTTTGTCCCAGTCTTCTTGTTCTGCAGGCATTTCTTGTTGTTTCTCATAGTTCCAAATCTCCATTTCTAAAAACTGAAACACGAAGCCAAAAGAACCTCTCCTTTCTTGTGCATCTTCTTTATACCTTTTAAGTTCCATTTTCAGTTCTTCTAAAAGTGGAGCCATTTTAAACAGTTTTAAACAACCACCCAATTGATTTTAGTCATTCAAATGCAATAACCAAGAATTCAGAGATCACCAAGTAATCCAAATAGTCCCAAGCTGTTTCTTCTTATTTCTTTTTTCACTTTCTCTTCCTGGGGTTTTACTATTTTGTTGCAATGTTTCAGTTAAGATGTATCTTTTGGAAGTCTTGTTGAGATTTTGCTGTAAGTTCTTTTTACTTCCAGGCAGTCTCCTCCCTTCCAGATCCTGCCCTTTTATTCTTTCCCCAGATGTGCCAGTATAAACTACTCTAATAAAAGGAAACTTTGAGAAAATGCCTGTCTCAGAGTTTTTAATTGGAGTTGGGGCTTTCTGGAACCCTGACATTAATTAATATGAGACAAGCCAATGTCTAAATGCCGGGCAGGGTGTACCACTATTCTGTCTGTGGACACTTGTTCCTTGGCTGGCAAAAGGCAGCAAGGTTTATGGCTTATCTCCCACAGCCTTCAGGGATGGTTGTTTGAAATATCTATCGTGACATAACTCTGACTGGCTGTCCCATGAAATGAAGCTGGTCCCCAGCCCCCGTCCCAATGTCTCTGCCCCCCTTCCCCCCCACGCCTCTCTGATATTTCATCTACCACTGGCATTTCATCTCACCTCAGTTTACTCTTTATTTTATTTATTATTGTATTAATTTTAGATATTTTATTTACATTTTATATTTTTATGTTTTATTTATTTTATTTTTATTTTATTTTGATTATTTCATTAGTTTTTGCTTGTAGTTTTTTTATTTATTTTATTTTAGCTATTTTATTTTACTGGTTTTATTTTCTTTTTCATTTTTTATATTTTTATTTTATTTTAGTTATTTCATCATTTTTTGCTTGTAGTTTTTTATTTTTATTTTATTTTAGCTGTTTTATTTTGTTGGTTTTATTTTATTTTTCATTTTTTATATTTTTATTTTATTTTAGTTATTTCATTTTTTTGCTTGTAGTTTTTTATTTTCATTTTATTTTAGCTGTTTTATTTTATTGGTTTTATTTTCTTTTTCATTTTTTATATTTTTATTTTCTTTTTAGTTATTTCATCATTTTTTGCTTGTAGTTTTTTATTTTTTATTTTATTTTAGCTCTTTTATTTTATTTTATTGGTTTTATTTTATTTTGCATTTTTTTACATTCTTATTTTATTTTTATTTTATTTTTCCCACTTTGATACCTTTATGACGAACTCCAGGCAGGGAACATAACGAATTCCTCCTCGTATTTTTCCCACAACAACAACCCTGGAGGTGGGCTGGGCTGAGAGAGCCCAGAGTCACGCAGCTGGCTTTCATGGTTAAGGTGGTGGGATTAGAACTCAGTCTCCTGGCAGTTGACCCAGAGACACCCAGCTGGCTTTCATTCCTAAAGTGGAACTAGCATTCCCTGTCTCCCAGTTAGCACCTTTGAACCGGATCGCTGCAAAAGTACTAAGCAGCTTTCATGCGTCTTGGCAAGCTTGCAAATGGTGATCGTGTCACCCAGGATACAGCAACCAACATGCCGGTTGCCAAGTGTCCAAATTTTGATTATGTGAACCACTGGAGGTGCTGCAACGGTCGTTAATGTGAGGACCAGTTGTAAGTCGGTGCCCTTCTAACTTCGGAGAGTTGGTAAACAAACAGTTGTAACTCTAGGACCGCTTATAGTTTGGTTGTAGTTATTTAAATTGTCATAGTAATGGTTTTGCTTTTCTCCTTCTCCCCCTTCTCCTCCACCGCCCCCATCCCCACCTCATCCTTCCATGTCCCCATTTAGTCCACCTGTCTGCCCCATATCCTGGCCCAGCTGCCACCCCTTCGTACAGAGCAACTCCCCAGCGCCCCGAAAGCTTCCTTTTCCGAAACTCCGCCAGAGAAGACGCAAACAAAGGTAAGTCGAACAGCTTCTCGGTTCAAGCATGGGGTCCAGGCTGTGTGTCCCTTTAAGGTGTTTAATTCATCCGTCCTTGTCACCCCTCCCCTCCCACTGGTGATCGTAGGACTGAAACTTTGTTGCTTGTATCCTTACGATTTATACGGACTGTTTTCTAGTATGACTTGATTGCTTATTTGTACCCTATTGACTATTATTAAGGATTGTACGTTAAGAATTCTTGATTCTTGACGAATGTATTTTTTCTTTTATGTATACTGAGTATTTACACCAAGGCAAATTCCTTGTGTATCCAATCACACTTGGCCAATAAAGCTATTCTATTCTATTCGATTCGATTCTATTCTATTCCAAAGTGGAACACTTAAAATTAGCTGCAAATAGTCAAATAAGAGCAATCTTGCCTGAATGAAAAGTGTGGATTACAGCTGCTGGTTGAAAGGAAATTTATGTAAGCTAATTCATTTGGGATGCAAACTTGTACAGAGGTGCAAAGGTAATTAATTATACCCCCATCTTTAATATTTTTATAAACCAGTCAAGTAATACTTCTTCGTCCTCCCATTTTTCCCACAACAGTCCTGTGAGGTGGGCTAGACTGAGAGAGAGAGAGAGAGACGGGCAGGCCCGAAGTCATTCTTCCGGCTTTCATGTTTTCCTTAATTTTAAACTTTAATATTGCTTAAAAAAAAAACACATCCCAGATCTTTGAAAAATTGGAACTCACGGATAATGAGTGGCATAGGTCAGTGATGGCGAAACTTTTAGTGCCCCACATATGCGGCAGAGACCCAAAGACCAGCCGGCCAGCAGGTGGCACACACACATGCGGAGCTGAGCTGGAGCGATGGTGCGTCTGCCCACAGAGAGGGCTCTGTGGGCCACCTCTGACATCCGTGCCACAGGTTCGCCCCCACTGATATAGGGTCTCCTCTTTGAGCCAGGGGGTTGGACGAGGTGACCTACCAGGTCCCTTCCAACTCTGATTTTGTATTCTGGGTGAATTAAAAAGGTTTGATGATGGCTGGGTATTGTGTGGCACAATGACACAAGAATAACGGTGTTCCCACATTAGAGAAATCGATCATGACAATGTCAGAATTTGCAGAAATGGCAAAACTGAACCGTTTGGTCAAACGATAGAAAGATATTTTTGGGGGGGGAAAAAAATGAATTTATTTATGGATTGGACGGTTAAGAAAAGTGAAGATTAAATGAAGGTGTTCACAAAACAGTTACCAGGGAGCCCGTTAAGTGGACTGAGTTGTCTAGGCTGAGTTGTAAATATCCCCATGCTGGCTGGGGAATTTTGAGAGTTGAAGGCCACATATCTTAAGATTGCTAAGGTTGCGAAGCACTGATTTAGATAAGTAGCAAAGATTTTATGTGTAAAATTTTCTCTAC